TTAACTAACTCTTCCTTTGTGCTGTACTAAATTTCTGGCTTCTGTGGTACAGTTAGCACTGCTTTATCAGGATACACAGAACCCATCTGACCCCAGTTTTTCTGAATGTGTGTCTGTGTAACTCTGTGTCTATCTTTTCTTTATTCCTGTGTTTCTCCTAGTCTGGACCAAGCTGGACAGTTTCAATCCCTTTCTCACTTTTTCTACTGCTAATTCACATAGCACCTTCTGGCAGAGAGTTATGCTTCATTTTTTTCTTTCATGGTTATATTATGGAGTTCAACAGGTGTTTATGTGTATGTGTGTGTGTGTGTATGTGTTTTGCTTTACTTGTAGCTATTAAGTTCAGGATAGTAAGACTGAAATGTATGGAAACTTCTGAAGAATTTTCTCTAATGGAAGTGTGTTGTTTTCCTCTTTCTTCCTCTTGCTATATGAAATGTATGCTTTTTCCAGTTAGACTCAAGACAACCTTATCTTTTTTTTTTTTGTTGTTGTTGTTGTTTTTCTTGGTGCCATGCATAGACTCTTTAGTAACTATCATGATGATTTTTAATTCTATTCAAGTGACTTCTCTCTGGGTTTTAAATGTATTCATCTTTGTATTTCTCATGTTTTCAGTCAGCCTCACATAGCAGAAATTTAACACATAGTGTTTTGAATGAATAAGTATATAAATAACTTGATGACTTGCATAGGTCTAATTGTAAGCTATAGCTTCCTTTTCATCTAAATTCAGTCCTTCAGCTGGCCGGTTATCCTTGTATTAATTATGAGTAGGTCACACAGCAACAGAGTACCCTTTGCTGAGGTCAATAGGATACATGTCATGAGTGTATTGGCAGAAGCATAGACAAGCACATCTGTGTCTTCCCACAGTGCCAGAATTTGTGGAATAACAGGAAATCCACAAGGTACAGCTACTGGAATGTAGCAGGACCTACAGGATTAAGTCAGTCCAGCTCCATGGTTGAAAGGACAAGACCAGGTACAGATGGTTGCATGGAGAGACACTAGGTCCATATGTGTAAACTGGAGGATATGCAAATGGAAATTCAAGCAGCCGAAACCTCTGGGACAGTCGGGACTTCTCTGCCTGTCAGGTGGATTGGTACTAGGTGTTCAGCTCTTTGTAGTTTTTAAGGTAGGTGAGGGAGCTGTTTCTTTGCCTTTATATCCCATGTTTAATATCCTTGGGTCTTGTTTTCCTGGCATGATTTTTATGTACCAGTACATGCCTACAGCCCCAACTTACCACTATAAATTTGTAGGGTAATACCTTTATACTCCAAAGAATAAGCAATTTATCGTTTGTGTCCCAAGCTGATGGAGCAATGTGTGTGTTCACCCGGGTGTGGAGTCACTCTCCGGCTTCAAAAGTGCTTGTAAAATGGCGTCTCTCAGCTTTCTTCTTAGGTCCATTTGCTTGGAATAAATTTTTTTCCTAGTCTTGATATTAAGGTATGTTTGTGGCTAGCAAAAAGATACATTCTGTTTTTGTATCCATTCTGTGTTGTTTTATTGGGATACTGAGACCACTGATGTTGAGGGGTATAAATGACCAGTGTTTTTGATTCCTGTTATTTTGCTATTGTGTTTTTGATTTGCTGGTCTGGGAATATTTATTTCTTTTGTTTTCTTAGGTGTGGTTAACTTCTTTAGGTTTGAGTTTTCCTTCTGGCATCTCCTGTAGGGCTGATTTGTAGATAGTTTTACTTAACTTTGGTTTTATCATAGAATGTCTTACTGACCCCACCCATTATGGTTGAAAGTTTTGCTGGGTACTGTAGTCTGGGCTGACATCTGTGGTTTCTTGGAATCTGTTTAGGCTCTTCTGGCTTTTAGAGTCTCCATTGAGCAGTCACATACTATTCTAAAAGTCTGCCCTTATATGTTACTTTGTCTTTGTTTCCTTGCAGGTTTTAATATTATTGATCTATTGTGTAGATTTAGTGTTTTGATTATTATGAGCTGAGGGGACTTCCTTTTCTGATCTAGTCAGTCTCTCTCCCTTTTCTAATCCTTCTTGTACGTTGGTAGGCATCTGATTTTTTGGTTAATTTTTTTTTCTTCTATGATTTTGTTAAAAATATCTTCTGGGCCTTTGACCTGGGTTTCTTTTTCTTCCGCTAATCTCATTATCTTTAGTTTTGGGCTTTCTATTGTGCCCTAGATTTCCTGGATGTTTTATGCCAGAATTTTTGTAGATTTAACATTTTCTTCAATTGTGTCTTCAATGTGTGAGGTTATCTCTTCCATGTCTTGTATTCTGTTGGTGAAGCTTGCCTACCAAAGAGGTTTTGGTAGAAAGAGGCTCGTTGGTAGACTTCTTAAGATTCTGACATGAACTGATTGGCTAGCTCTTTAATTACCTCCCCCTGAGGGGGAAGCAGCATTACCAGACCACAAAAGAAGACAACGCAGCCACTCCTGATGAGACCTAATTGACTAGGATCAGAAGGAAGGAAAAGAAGTCCTCTCCTATCAGTGGACTTGGAGAGAGGCATGCATGCAGAGGGTGGAGGAAGGGAGGAATTGGGACGGGGGGAGAGAGGGAACCACCGGGGGGGGGATACAAAATGAATAAAGTGTAATTAATAAAGAATTAAAAAAAATAAAAAAGACAGAAATACAAACAGACAACAACAACAAAAAAAAGATTTTTACTTCCAGTCTGTAGGCTGTCATATTGTTCTGATGACAGGGTCCTTTGCTTTACAGAAGCTTTTCAGCTTCATGAGGTCCCATTTATTCATTGTTGATCTTAGAGCCTGTGCTGTTGGTGTTCTGTTCAGGTAGTTGTCTCCTGTGCCAATGAGGTCAAGGTTTTTCCCTACTTTTTCTTCTAAGTGGTTTAGTGTATCTGGTTTTATGTTGAGGTCTTTGATCCACTTAGACTTTAATTTTGTGCAGGGTGATTAATTATGGATTTATTTGCATTTTTCCACATGTAGACATCCAGTTAGAGTAACACCATTTGCTGAAGATGCTGTCTTTTATTTATTTATTTATTTTCCCCATTGTATGGTTTTGGCTTCTTTGTCAAAAATTAAGTTTCCATAGGTGTGTGTTTTGTTTCTGGGTCTTTGATTCTATTCCATACAAGGGCTGTTTGTGACATGAACTTAGTAGCCGGCTCTTTGATCATTTCCCACTGGCGGATGCAGCCTTGCCAGGCCACAGAGGAAGATGATACAGCTAGCCTTGATGAGCCAGCTAGGGTCAGATCGAAGGGGAGGAGGTCCTCCCCTATCAGGGTACTAGGGAAAGGGCATAGGGAGAGAAGAGGGAGGGAGGGTAGGACTAGGAGAAGATGAGGGAGGGGGCTGTAGTGGGAATATAAAGTGAATAAATTGTAATAAATAAATATATAAATAAAATTAAATTAAAAAGGATTTTCACTTCTAGATTTCTTTCAGTTTTTTTTTTTTTTTAACTGATTCTCTTTTCACTTTTAGGTATTGAATGTTTTGTTCCTTTTCTTCCACTGTTTGTGTTTTCCTATATTTCTTTAAGGGATTTATTTATTAGATGAGATATAAGGGGGCTGTCTGGATGGATGAGGAAACTGTGAGGTCGTAAGAACTTTTACTCATACTCAAAGTACAAAAAGAATAACATTTCTGCCACTAACTAGCTGAGTTCTCTTAAGTTGCACAAGTTGTCTCTGACCCCGGTCCTCTAGAATGTGAATGATGATGGCATGTATCTTGGGCTTTTGTGATGGTTGCACATTTATGCTTATTTCTAAAACTTCAGTATCTATAATAGCTGTGTTGTGGCTCAAGGGTGAAATGTCCTGCATAGACTCATGTGTTTGAATGCTCGGTTCCTACTTGGTGACACTGTTGGAAAGGTTATGGAGCTGTCTGAGACCTTCCCAGAGTCAAAAGACTCCACATGGCATCACCATCACCATTAGCTGTAATGTCTGAGTCCTCAGCTGGGATGCCCTAAGGTTAGAATGCCTGTGACTTCCGGTCCACATGAAGTGGAGCTTGGTTTGGCTTGGAGGATCTGCATTCGGTGAACACCAGGCCCTTGCTTTACTGCTTCTCCATTGCCTGCCTACCCTAGCACCCACCACAGCCAATACTCCCAACCCTAGTCCTCCAACACCACCATCTTCCCAACACCCCCAGCACCTAGGTGGCTCCTGGCACCAAGGGAAGGATCTGAGATTTTATGGTCTGACCCGTCTTGTTCTCTCCCTGCTTCCTGAATGAGGAAGTGTGATAAACTAGCTTCCATGCCTTCCCTGCTGTTGCCACGTCTCCCTTGCTATTATGGATTTTGTCCCTAATAGAGCTGTAAGCCAAAATAAGCCCCTTCTCTCCTAATTTTTTCTTATGAGTATTTTATCACAGCAACAGAAAAGGAACTAATACAATCTATAAAAAAACCCACACATTTTAGGTTCTTAAGAAAAAGAGGTGAAATTTTTTATTTAGGCTGAATTTACTGTATTTCTTTATAAAATAATTTTATAAAAGAGTCCATCAAGATATTATATAGAAAATACACACTAAAGTAATATATACACTTCATAAAAATAGAATACATCTTGACAATTGCTTACAGCGTCTGTAACCACCATGTACAGTGTGTTGACGTTTACCATGTTAACTCGGACACATATGGTTACAGTAATCAAGAAATCTGTTCTATTGCTATGTCTTAAAATTATTTTATTTGACAGAAAAAATATGGAATGTAAAAGTTATGGAGCGGAGTGAATAAGTGGTTATATCAAAATGTCAAAGACCCATGCCATGGGCAATTGTCTAAAGGGAAAGTAACTTTCTGATATCATAGTACAAGAGTCAGATGATTTCACAAAACCTCAGGGAATGCATCTTGAGTATTTAATAAAGGCAAGGTCCGTTTTGGGATCAAACAAATTTTGTTGTATCTGTACTATAGTTCAGTAATAGTGGGTATTTTTTTTTAACCTTAAACTAAAAGGAGATGTATAAGACTTATATCAATATTTTAAAAAATCTTATATCATAAGCTTTTATCAAAATACATAGCAACTGGTTTTACCATTCTAAGAATAGCCAAATGCTCAGAAATCTATTTGAATTAGTTTTTTAAACATTGTTTCCAAGAAAATGATCTTAGCTTCTATGTAACTATACAACATCACTGATGTGTCCTATTAGCTGATCAGAATAATCGTTGGGAAGCAACTGCTCCAGTGTAATAAATAAAGAAAATAACAGAGGGCTCTTCTAAAGGATACACAATCATGGTGTGATCATACAGCCACCTCAGCAGTACCAAGGAGCACACATAACGGAGTATAGCACCATTGTCACGTCGCCAAGATTGCAACTGTTCAAGAGACAGTAAACTGTAGGGGTCCTTGATTGCCAGGGTTAATGCAGTTTAAACATTTGCACTAGGTTCTGGAGTCCTTCCTAGTATGGATAGGCAGACACAGCTATATAAACTATGAATGTGGTCTGGTACTCAATGGTCCCGTTGGCACTGTAGGACAAAGCACGCACCTTCATGCGGTAAGTGTCAGCCTCTCGTAGCGGACGTGTGGTGTACACCACTCCTTTCAGGTTTTCGTCCCTTAAGGCAAAAGGAACAGCTGGCTCCTCATCTACCATGAGGAAAGTCGTCCTGGGATGCATCACTCCATCCTGTGTGTATGCAACCAGCCGGATTAAATCTTGATTGGCACCTATCCCAAATGGGAGCGAGACAAGCTTATATTCCAAGGCATATGGGCTCAAGGTACACTCCAGGTCATTGGGTGGGCAGTTTTTAAGGCAGAACCTAAGGTTAGAAAATAAATGAGTTGCACATAGTTATACACCTTGAAACAGGATAGGACACGACACAGGCGATCATTATCTGTGGTGACCCTTACTTGTTCACCTATAAAATGTGGCTTTACCCATTTCCTACATCCCTGGCTCAAAGGAGATGCCAGGTAGCCAAGAGAATAACCTGGTCTACATCAAGTGTTAGTATCCCTGCTCTGCTGAGAATAGAGGAGTTGGAGGTCCTTATGTGAGAAGAATACGTTCTTTCTTTTGTGGTGGGGTGCTGGGATTGGATGTGGGCCTTGTGCATACTAAACACATGCTTCACCAGCTCAGTCCCAACAGCACTGTCCTTAAAATGAAAAGTTTTCCTTTATAAAACAAAAGCATTGTATATATCTTGGAAACAAGTGCTCCCTAGAGAGAAGACAATAAGGTACATTATAATATTTACCGACTTGCTGCTTGGAGGTAGAAATAGGATATATAGGTATTTGGTTTCTTTTTCTCAGAATAGTTAAAGGTCACTTAGGATTTCTCGGAGGATGACTTTCTTCTTAATATCTCTTTCATATTATTTTATATTAAAAACTATTTTCCCCTTTCAGAGCCGTACTGAGTCATAATAACATTCAAAATGCTTTTTTCCCCTAGAGATCTAAAGGAAAACCCCCCACAAAGGACTATTTTATAAAAATATAGATTCTTTAGTCAAATCTTTTTTTAGATACTTTATAAGTCTCTCTATTTTCAATCCTCTCTTTCCCTTTTCCATTCCTATGAGATTGATCACAAGCAGGTTTATGGTGGGTTATGGGTAACACACACTCGACCATGCTACATTAACTAGAGGCATTACTAAGAGGAAAATCAAGTGTGAGCTCCAGTGAGCATCTGGTAATGACCCGGAATGATCCAAGATGAGCACTGACACTTGTTTTCAAGCATCCAGTTACCTTGGTACCTGGACAGGGTGGGGAGAAATAGAATAGTTTATCTAGAAGTAAGAAGTCCCTCAGCACCAGGGAAGTGTAAGCAAGATGTCACCGACCATTGTCCTTGTTTCTCTCCTTCTCTTGATGCACAGTGAGCAATCACAGAAACAGAAAAGGTACTCCTTGATTAGTCTTCCTGCTGACAGTACTTACCAGCGTGAGGCAGTGCAAATGGAAATGAGGGATTTTTCAACGAAAAAAAGGCAGGCTCTCTACCCCATAGAATACTTGCTAGTGTGGGAGAGCCCTGGAGTCCTGCCCGCCACCCCACAGGGCAAGCAGTGTGAGTCCAGACCAGTGATGGTTTGGTTTGCAGTGGCAGCTGCCTAATGAGTTCATCTGTTGTCCATTCATAGAAGAAGAAACACACAGTCAGCCTGCACCCCCTCAGGGCTCCTGACTTCCAATGAGTTAAACAGGACTGTAGACAAGGCTTATGTTGGTCAAAGACAGGGTTTCCAGAGCAGGTCTGGGATAAGAGAGTGAAACCTACCCCAAAACAGGATCCCGCTGGTAACTGGGCGGACAGGGCGTGTCGATGCACTCATAGCTTCCTCTCATGTTGAAACACATGCGATTGGGCCCACAGCGCACATTCTGCTCCAGACACTCATCTACATCTAGGGACCATGCAAAGAATACAAGGTAGCATTACTTGGGGTCCATAAGGGCTATTGTAACAGTCTTTACTACATTCGTATTTGACTGGAATATAGAGGGAGTTCTCCTACCTTAGTCCTCTAATGAGCGTATTTGCCATACCCAAGCTTCTGCCACAAAAATGGGGAGCATGATTCCCCATCTATTTATTTCCCTGATTGCTCTGAGTACATTTTTTTTGATATATGTTAAAAGTCAAAAGAAAAATGAGAGTTATAAAAGTAAACGGGCAGCTTTCAAGAGCACTCACGTCTCTTCTATTTGAAAAGCAGAACATATGTAAGTTTGTCAAGCAAATAATATTTTAAACGCACACTGACCAAACTAAAAATCAAGAGACACTGCGGATACTTTGCAAAGAGAAGAATCCTTCTGTAGTATGAGCAATTCTTGTGTTCTAAGTTCAAATTGTAGGGAGGAAATGATGGTAGTAAAAATTAAAGGATCCAAGCTGTAAACTCATGGGACACTGTTAGGCAAGTCAGATCTTGAAGAGAATGATAAATTGAAGAAGAAAAAAAAAAGAAGCAAGAAAACTCTAAGATCAAATAAATGGTTCCCAAACCACAGTTTAAGTTTAATCAAACAGAGCAGATTTGAACTGCTCTGACATCAGAGTCCACCCCCAGGAGTGTGGCATGGGGATGTTCCCTGGAGCAATGGCATAAGCAGCACAAATATGCAAGTAAAAGACATTGTATTCTGTGGTTTCCTCACAGAGTTATTAAATGGAAACACTGATGCAATAAGATTTATTTTTAAGTAAGAGAACTGAGGAAAACTTTCAAGCTTTCTGAAAAATGTTTTTTTGTGCCACAATTTTTAATTTTGGATTTGTAACTGAGCACCAGAGGAAGACAGACAGACAGACAGACAGACAGATACACATACACACACACAGAGGTGAAGAGAGAGAGAGAGAGCCTGAAAGATTTCTGAATGAGTGCCCATAGAATTCAATAATTATTTCAAAAGGTATTTTTGAGATCCTGAAGTTATTATTTCATTTAATCTTCCCACTGTGGTAACTTTCACCTGCCTGGTGGTTCACGAGGAGGTCCACTAGTGTGAAGACAGGCAAGCACTTTTTGGGAGCAAAATCGACACCCTCATCTCCCACACATCTACTTTCCCCACATCAATCTGCCTAAGAAGTTCATGGTCTGGAAGTCTCCTTTCCCAACCTTCATCTACTTCTAGAGAAAGGCTGCATAAGTCCTAGAGCAAAAATATGAATATACTACACAGCAACATTACATATTTATGGACAGAAGCCCTTTTGAGAGATTATGGCTACAAACCCACACCTTAGCAATTTAAAATTAGATTACAGATTGAACAAAAAAATGGCCTTAGAGGTCTTATGATATCCAATTTGACTGCTTTGACAGTGTAGAGCTAAATCTGAATGAGGGAGCCAAATCTGAAGTGACAAACTTTTGATGAGACTATACTTAGCACAGGTGCATCTTAAATAGGGCAGGATTCACAACCTTCTCAAGCATTAAACAGGGGTTCTGGGCCTATTGATTAACCCGACATCCTGTGAGGGAAGGCAAGGGTTTTTGGTCCTTGTCAGCTGCCTGCACATGGGATGCACATCAGCCTTGTTTCCCAGGTAACTAAGAAGATGCTCATTAAATAAGGAATGACAACCAAATGACTCTGCGTAGCGTTCCCGTGATGCAGTCTTTTACAGTCAAGTGAGGGGCTGGGGAGAACTTGGTGATCAGCTGCCGACCTGTGTGACTCTCCCTTCTTCTCTCTAGAGCAGCTAAGCACTAGACACTGGACTTGGGTTAAAGTAGCGAAGTGCTTTTGTGAGCTCTTAAACTTGGAGCAGTGTTAACAGAGAGAAAAGAGAGACGCGATTCCAAGAGGCACTGTATTAGTCATATACAATGAACAGCCAAGTTTGAATTAATTACCATTTGCATTCTTGTATTGAAAGAGTATTTTAGATTTCATTACAAGCATATTGTTTTCTAAGCAGTTATTTACAACTTAGTAATAGTATTCACAAAGTAAAAAAAAAATGCTGTCCAGCTTGGTAGTGGCGGTGCACGCCTTTAATCCCATCACTTGGGATGCACAGTGAAACCCACTGCTTTGTAGACTAAAATCAATAAAAATATAAGTCTCATTGAATTATTTCCCAAACATGACAACTATTCATATTTTCCACATTATACATGCAGTCTAAACAGTCAAAAGTTAATATCACCTCATAAATATTTGTGTTTTACTAAGGCCTTTGGACATTTTGAGCAAATGTGAGAAGTGTTTAGTGGCCTGCATGACTGTAGTCCATGCTAATGTCTGTTTTCCATAAGGAGTCTTTATAAAGACTATGCGACCAGGCAGGTGACCCTCCTTTATCTATGGTCTGTGATTCTATTCACTGTTCTTAAAAAAAAAAAGGCAAAACAGAAACAACAACAAAACAAACAAAAACAGAAATAAAGCTGGGCATGGTGGCATACTCCTTAATGAGACCTCGTCTTAATGGAAGATTAGAGGAATAATACTCTTGTCTTCTATAATGGATCAAACTATGATGTCTGGCTTTTAGTAAACATCATAAGAATAATGTAAGAGAAACTGAAGTAGAGGCAATTATGTAAGTATCCCCGCTAAAAGAAAAGAATGACAAAGTGAGCTGGAAAGATTTTTATATCAACAGCATTAGAAAATATGATGGATTTTAAGAACTGCTTCTGGATACTTTAAAAAATAATTCAGGATAAATATACTTGAAACAGTTATACTACAGAAATTATATGTAACCCAGACTCTTGACCAACATGTACCATGTCTTTACAACTGTAGATGACAGAACTCCTTTCAAATTCAGTGTCATGACAATATTAATTTTTTCTTTTAAGAAGCATATTCTTTTATTAATATTTTTCAAACAAAGCATTATTTGTCATGTATGAAAGTCTATCTGAATTTTTCTTCTTTAAATATTTGTGATTCATGAAGTCAGGCTGAGGTTCTTTTAGTTTTTCCTCATTGCTTCTCAGTCAAATCTTGACTGGTCCACACTTTTTGTATTTTGTTTTTAATTTTACATCCGGATGACTTCCACTTTTGACAGGATTCTCTGTCTTTGTTTCCTATTATACTGTCCATCGTGATTTCCCAGCTCTTACTGACAAGGCCGTTACCAATGTATAAAACTTAAAAAAAAAACCCCACACACAAAAAAACCAACCTGGATGAAAGCCTCTTGCTCCTTGTAAATGCCCCAAACACTTTCTAAATCTATAAAGAGACTCTAAGCTATTCTTTACAGTGAAGAATTCTTTAAAAGGCAGAAATGTTTTCTCTCATGTCTTTTTAAAACCACAAAAGTATGTAACCCATTTAAAGTGCAAACACTTCCATGACACCTGTTTCTGATTTGTTCACAGTATTTTCCACTCTGTAGCACAAATGAGAACTGAAAAATGTTTTGAGTTAAATGAGGGCAATTAAAAAAAACTGGCAAGATTTAGAAAAGAAGAAAAATCTCTCTAATGAGTATATCATATAACCCTTTAACTTTGCTTAAGGGATTTTGTGGTTCAGTTGGTAATTCGAAATGCTTTGGTATTTGCTCTGGATCCTGAGACAGCTGTAGAAAGGGTAGTTGTAGTTTTGGGCACTCTCTCTCTCTCTCTCAATTTGATACAAACTCTTATTATGCAGCCCTGGCTGGCCTTAAATTCACAGTGATCTGTGTGCCTTTGCCTACAGAAAGCTGGGATGAAAAGGCATTTGCCACCAAACCTAGCGACATTGGCGTTCTTTTAGAAAGATGTCTGGGCTGAGTCAGTTCTAAAGTATGAAGTGTTAACACTTCCACCCCCTGGCCCATAGTGTGCTGCCTGAAGTAAGTGTTCATAGCACCTTAGGAATGATAAAAGGCCACTGGAGAATATAGAGTCTGAGGTAGTGTTACCTTTGGTCTTGACTGTACTTGGCCACTGGAGAATCACAGTCACCTTACGTAGTAGTTTTATTTACATACATGAGTGCAAATCATATCTTATTGCTGAGTCAAGTTATTCATGTAGGGTATATTCTTAATAATGTTCAGTGATTGATGGATGAAGGCAAAGGCTCTACTGAATTCAGGCTTCCTCCAGCACCAACAACCTAAATGGAGAGCCTCAGACAGTGAAAATTAGGGAAGGGAATGGCTCTTGGTTCGTCAAGTAAAGCTGTTCTTTCCCTTGGTCTTGGTTTCCAGGACAAATCTCCTACAAACTACCTTCCTGGTAAGTCCTTTGTGAAAGTGCAAAAGGGAAAATTCAATCTCAGTTTTGTGGCTACTGATAAAATGTTCTCTTAAAGATTTTATTGGTATACTTTTCAAAAGAATTTAGTTTGTATATGACAAAAAGGAATAAAATTCAGAGGCATATATCATGCTTAGATTTTATTCACAAAACTGAGGGAATCTGTCAAAAGAGATTAATAGGCTATTTCTTTTGATGTAAGTATATTTTGCAATATAATATGTCAAGAAAGTGCTGTTCTCTTTTCATGTTTTTCACACAAAACAAGGAAATCTGGTGGTTAGCAGTATTCTTCCTTTCTATTCTTTCCTTTCTATTTTCACTATGCTTTGCCCTCAAATTCACTATATAAGTTAGTATTTTGATTTATTTACATTTGTCTTCTCTTAAGGGGAAGGACTGCCAAGTCATCTGCCTTCAGTCTTCCCCTCCTGCAGAACTAGGATATGATAATGAGTCTTCAAAGAATGAAGAGCTTATCACCATTTCTCCACCAGGCGCCCTAGCGGTAAGTCCGCTGAGAAAACACAGGTAGATCCTCACCTGGGGGTCACTCCACAAACCCTCCTTCTCATTTTCCTCCCCACCCCAGCTAAATGGTGAAAAAGCTGTTTGAAAAGATGTGTTCCTTTTAGGTTTGAAAGATCTCTAATATGAACTGGGTTAATGATTCTTCAAGGAAGACCACACCAAGTATGTGTCTTGATGATTTTTCTTCACTGACATGCCTCTCTCTTGCTTTTCTTATTTGGAAAAGCATTGTTTAGAGCAGTGGTTTTCAATATTCCTAATTCCATGACTCTTTAATGCAGTTCTTCATACTGTGGTGACCCCAGCCATAAAGTTATTTTCATTGCTACTTCATATCTATAATATTGCTACATTATGAATCATAATGTAAATACCTGATACGCAGAGAATCTGACACGCTACCCTCAGAAGGCTCACTGTCCATAGGCTGAGAACCCCTGCTTTAGAACATCTGACCCGTAAGTATGGAAGAAAAGGGGCAGCTAGGAGAATAGTTATTTACAAAATTTTCTCATGTTTCTACAGTCAAACTGGAACAGTAAATGTTCCAGTTCTAGCATCTTCTCACCTTGGCATGTTTTCCCATTGAGCATGAGTCGATAACCTGGTGGGCAGACACACTGGTAGCTCCCGATGGTGTTTTTACACTCATGTTGACAAGTATCTCTGTTTTGACATTCATCAATATCTGTTCAGCAAGAAAACAGAGTGTATAAGCATCCCAAACACAAGCAGGGTCTGTGACAGAGACATCAACACAAGTGGCCAACATAAGACAGAAACATTTGCTCCTGACTTTACATTCATGCTCTTAAAAGTGATTAGAGCCATTATACTTCAAATTCTGTTTTTAGTGATATAAATATTAAGTATGTTACAACAGTCACCATTACTACTTTATAATGTATGAACACTTCTTTACCATCTTATATACGTATATGAGCTGAAGCTTCAACTTTGTCATTTATTTTCTGTGTTGCTAAATTACATTAAAATGACATGTGTGACAGATTTGTGTAAAATCCTAAACTGCCAAAGAGTTAATCTTTTGTTAGAATGCTAAAATTTACCCAAAAGTTTCTTTTGATGTTAAATAGAAAAAGAAGCCTCCATTTAAAAATTGCTTTACAATGTTGTGTACATGAGTGTTTGCCTACATGTATGTCTGTGTAGCATGTCTGTGCACTACATTTGGGGTTCACAGGAGGGCATAGGGTCCCCTGTGGCAGGAGTTACAAACTGCTGTGAGCTGCCTTGTGGGTGTTGGGAATGAAACCCAGATGCCTTGAGCAGCCAGCACTTGTAACCACGGAGCGGTCTCCCTAGCCCCCATTTTTATTTTATGTGAACCTTAGATCTCTCTCTCTCTCTCTCTCTCTCTGCATCTTCTCCCTATAACATCTACACATAGGTTTTTCATACACAGATATTTTCAAGTGGAAACGTTTCCATAATTGTGAGAAATATTTCCTAATCTCTGTAGAGTGGCGAACTACTAGTGGCAAATACACGCCTGTATCTGTGCTGACTCGGGCGACTCATTTAACTCCTCAAGACCTCAGTCAACTCATTGGCCCAAGGGGATCAAGAAGACCATCTGCTCTGCTTCACCGGTCTGCTGGCAGGGCTCCCACACTGTAAGAACTGGGGGAAATACTCTATAAGCCACAAGGGGGTGCCTAATACATTAAAGTGAAAAGTCAAGCACACACACACAATTAAGAGTACAGTGAGAGTAGACGATAATTCAAGTTCAATATCTGTTTTGTATTCCAACTGTGATTTGTTTTGATCAGCTCTCTCATGGTCCCTGAGCACACACTAACCAGTGGGACACAAAAGACTATGACATGCAGTGGAACAGGAGCTCAGAAGGGTAGGAATACAGCAAAGACCAAGTGAGGTCTGGGGGATGACTCAGAGCAAATGAATCTGTTTTTGTGTGCTTTGCACATGGTGAAAACAACTGTAATAATTCAAAATATGTTAATGATAAATATTCAGCAAATATTCACTTTCCATGTTTATGCATCATTTTAGCTAACCAAAGTACTCATTTCATAATTTGTGTGGGTTATTTGGACTTTCCTCTTCAAATATTTGCTTTAATCTAAAACAACAACAGAAATTCAAATGGTTTTGAACTGGAAGTTGTTAACATGGCGCTTTGCAACATATGAATTTAAAAATGGCAAAGTCTGACTTCTGCTTTCAGGAATGAAGCTAAGTTCATTACTTCTGTTAAGCCCTGGGATCAACTCTTTAAAAACTAAATTTTGCCCAAATCTAACAAGATTACACAGTGTCAATTTAATCCTTTTGTAACTTGTCCATCCCAGTTGGTTAATTAAAGGCAGTCAGTATTTGTTGTAAGTTGCTTTTATTAGATGATTTCAGAGCTGTCTGCAACTTTAGTGTGAATATCTTTATTAGCTGCAATAAAATGTTCACCATATTTTAAGAGACATCTAAGCCTCCTAACAGTCCTAAGTAACGGAAAGATCTCCCCAAGTATTGGAAAGATCCACAGATTAATGAGTTATAAAAGCCTACTTTAGATATTACATGATTGATTCTCTAAAATAGTTTTGAACAATGCATGCCTATCAAGGGAAGATAATTCTGATGCACCATAGTATTGGCATAATATAAACATCAAGAAAAAAAAACTTCAGTGGACTCTATTATGGTGGAGCTGAGGCTATGGTCAGTGACAAAAACGGGAAGTTGGGTTGTTGTAAGAGAATCTTTCTAAATCTGTTGTGTACCTTCAGGTGTTAGAGTATAACAATCGGGTGATGACTGGTGTGAGGGTGTGGTTTAGTTCACTTATGACATGGGCATGAGCAAGACAATAAAAGTAGAATAGAAATAATGAATTTGTTCAAAATGAAGACAAAAGTGTGATGATGGGAGGCTACAAAACATCATGAGTAATGGTTCAGAAGAAACTTCTAAAGACAACATGTTACTCAATAATAGTGGAAGTTCTGATGAGTGAAGAGTCTGATTAAAACTGTAGGCACAGAAAGGTGTGAAACACTCAGAATAATGGGTGATGCAGAGAATTAGTGACTGTGTGGTATTTGTCCACATTGGCCGTAGGGCATTGCTAATAAATTCATTAAAGTTTAAAGTGCAAGCCATTGACAGTGACTACAGTTCTCAAACGCATATCCACAGAACAGAGTTAACATAATGATAAATTTTAGCTACACTAGGATAACTAGAAAGAAAAACAATGGAAAAATCGAAATGCAATAATAATGTATGAAGCTCCATCCATTCTTCAGAAGGTGCAGAGGAGACAGATAAGCCTATGCAACAGGAGAGTCTGGGTCTACCTAAAGTTGAATAAGGAATCATGTTAAAAAAGATAAGGGGATGGAGAAGAGTATAAAAAGAAATGAAAAAAAAATCAAGTCAGAAGGTGAAGAAAACCTCACAATACTAAAAAAAGTTGTAACAAAATGTGAATGTCACTAAGGATAAGCAACATGGAGAATACTGTGAGAATGAGATGGGCTAATGGCCATTGAAGAGAGCTGTCAGGATGAGCTAGTCTAACGGTCTTTCAAGAGCACTCTAAGGATGAACGGTCCAGCCTAATGGTCTCTGAATTTTAATAGGAGTTCTTTCTTGCCTCCTTCCTTTGCTGTTTGCTTTCTTTTGCCTTCTAACAAAATAGTGGGGCTAACTGATATTGGCTACTTCTTCTTGATGCCTAGCTCACTGACATGCAAACTGTAAATACAAACCAAAAATTAAGTTAAACATATGGCAGATAGTAATGTTTACAACTTAGGTGAAAGTAAAGTCTCAGTTCTTCGGCAGGAAATTATAGTTACATTTTGTAAAATTAAGTTACTGACTTGTGAGTTCAGATAAAGACATTGAGCATGCCTATTTGGAAGCAATGGAACCAAATTTTGCTCTGGATCACATCTTTCTGTTCATAAACGTATAAAATAACCCGACTGAGAAATTCCATGGTAAGGCTAAGGACAACCGCCAGTAGGAGGTGGGTGGTTAGGAAGAACAGTTGACTGAGTCACTAAAACTGTCATTTCTAAGCCACTGCCTTTGCATCAAACAAAGCTATGTTATGGACTATATCATATTATGTGAAAATGTGTCTATCTTCCTAAAACCTCACGTTATTGATGGCACTGACATTTACATCTATGTAGGATTTAATTCAGCAACACTGTTCAAGACTGATCAGAAAGAAAAACTTGACATAGCACAATAAATTATTAGAATGCACACATGCAAATACATCACTTAATTGGATAAAGTTTCTAATCATCTTAGGTGCCAGAAAATATGTCTTAAAACCTTGAGTCATTCCAGACTTGAGATCAGATGTAATTCAGTGCACCAAACACGGTGCTATACGCATGCTTAGACTCCAGAACAGGAAGTGAGCTCACAGAAAGGAAATGTAATATGGCTGACATTTACCTACACATGTTTCATGGTTTGCCTCAGAGCCTTCAGGGCAAGTTTTCCTAATAGTCCTTCTATTCCTGGAGAGAGATGCTCTGCTGTTCCTATACTCTGAGTAGGAGCTGTAGAGCTGTGAGTGCTGTCTGTAACTCTGCGGAGGTTGATAGTCGCTTCTCACAGGGGAGAATCGTGCAAGGTTATAGCTACTGTACTGACTGCCAAAATTCGACAGCCTCTCCAATCCAGCGCAAGACTTCCCATCCCCTAATAAATGTTGTCCTGCTGGACAGATACACTTGAAGCTGCCGGGGGTGTTGGAGCACTGATGTGCACAAGGCTTAGGTACTTGCTCACATTCATTAATGTCTGCTCGTGTGCCATCATACATAAAAGAGAGAAAAAAAAAACATACACACACACAAAAGAGGGATAAACAATCAGTCTGTGAAACAAAGTAAAGACATATTACTCTCCAACCATAATGCCAAGGCTTTAATCAATCAGGTACGGATATTTAGAAAGAGTTTGTGCCTCTTCCTAAGCAGTGCTTGACATAGAGAAGTAATAAGATAACCGTGAGAGTCAGACTGCCGTGGCTGTCACATTGGCAGTTCACTTCGATATATGCATTATACAGGAAGCACTGAGGAAATGGGCATGACAATACTTGAAATGCGAATATGTGTTGAACTCAATGCCAAGTCTCTGAAGCAGTAACCAGACTATGTTATGGCTTACTACCAGTACACATCTTTGAAGTGTAGCCGGAGAGCATGACCATAAGTGTCTGATAAGGTGAGGTAGCCTATCAGCAGCTGTATTACTATGGAAGGGTTTTTGTTAACTTACCAATACAGGGTCTTCCAACTCCTTGGGACCGATAACCCCGTGGGCATGCGCACCGGTAGCTGCCTCTCGTGTTCTCACACATCTGGTTGTATCTGCACTGATGGGTCCCATCTTTGCACTCATCGATGTCTACAGATGTGGGGACAACAGAAAGCAACATTCCTCCTTCAAACCTAGTTATCATACTAAAATTCTCATTCCGCTGGCTGCCAAAGCTTGTGTTCCTCACCATGTCACTGATTTTATGTTATGTGAGGACGCAGGATTTGGAGTCAGTAAACCTGTGCTCAAATGTCGGCACTGCTACTATCAACGGGTCCTCCCGACCCCCTTGTTTCCTACTGTGGAAAGAGCCTTGTTCTTATCTTTGTTTACGGTTTTTCTTCTCTGTACTTCTCTACAATTCCTTTGGCCATCTCATCTGTCCTAGTGGTCAGTGTGTAGGCAGATTTGGAGCTATGGTGCTACACTGTTTCTGATCCCCAGCCATTCCACAGCTGCAGCTGCCGGCTGGACATCCCCACTTTCTTTCCTCACCTGCACTGCAAAACCAGGAAGCCCAGCTCTCACTCTCTCTTATTTAAAGCAGTAGCACTCCTTCGAAGACACCCTGGCTGCTAACATCAGAGTCGGCTTTAAGTTATTTTTGCAGCTGGGTAAGTTCTGTAACCTTCAACTGAAGTCATAAATCTCTATATTTTCATTCTCACTGGGCTAGATGTCTGCTGCCGCTTCTTATTCTGAAACTTTAGTTCATGTCATTCCTGATTATCTTAGACCTAATTATAGATTCAGTATTCATCAAAAACCAAACACAGCTGCATGCTCTTGTACGTGATGGTTGGAGGTGGTTGCTCCTCCACTTAAAGAAAATAGTTACCTATATGCATAGTGTTAGAGCTAAAAAGTATTTGAAAGTGATAGTCCAATACTTGGCGCTAGAAGTTCTTGGGCATACAAACCCTTCATGCACCTCAATTGTCAACAAGTGGTCAGTGTTTCATGTCTAGCTATTTCTTCTGAGCACAGGGCTTTCTTACTGTTGCCTTCCTACTAGCAACACAGTTAATTGTCCAGCACACCTAAATTTAAGTGTGATCATTTCCACAATGTTTTTGATAGTCATGCTTCTCACATATGATCACTCTCTTAGGCACTGTTCAAATTTATTTATATCTTTCATGGGGTTTCATTTTACCTCATATTGTAGAGCTTGTCCCCTTTTGATAGGAGACTGAGTCAAATTAACTCCTTGTTTTTATTTACTGTGACGTTTTCTCATGCTGTGTGTAGAGAGCATTCACACGTGGGAGCCCATGGATAACTTCTGAGAGCCAGAGCTCTCCTTCCACAGTGTGGGCCCCAGGGACTGAGCTTAGGTGGTTGAGCTTGGCTACAGGAGTCTTCACCTCCTGATCCACCTCACTCACCTGCTCTGTTTCCATTAATCTGTGTAGTTTCTAGATCTACCCATCTATGTAGGCTGGTATGGAATAGACATATAAAGAATAAACTTAGAAGAAACATGACTCATTTTATATCCTAAGTTGCAATCAATGGCATCTGGTGAGTTGGTGAGCTGATACAAGAATAGGCCACAAAGAGGAAAGCTGAGGTAAATAGAATTTACTTTCTTCTCCTGGACTGAATATTTAAAGTAGTTCAGAATATTACATATTTTAAATAAATATCTAGAACTATTTCTTGACCTTGCTGGGATTTCTAAACAGATACGCTAAATTTCAAGTTAGAAATAACATGAGTTGGGCCTGGAGAGTTGGCTCAGTGGTTAAGAGCACTGTCTGCTCTTCCAAAGGATCCAGGTTCAATTCACAGCACCCACATGGAAGCTCACAACTGTCTGTAACACAGGTCCAAAGGATCTGGCACCTTCACACTAATGCACATAAAATAAAACTAAATAAATTATTAAAAAGGAAATAATATGACTTAACATACTAATTCTTGTGGTATTAAACTTTGCAAAAAATGTATGATGGACGGGAGCTCAAAACAGACATAAGTCTGTTTGGGTTTTCATTACCTTGTATGCCATTTGGTTGGGTCATAGAGGAACTGATGGAGAAGGCTTTTCTTGTTAACTAAGTTTATGTCACCATCTTATTCTAGAATAGATTGCTTCCTTAACTTGCTGGTGGTAAAGAGTTTTCTGTCTGAGAAATAGCCTGGCACTCACCAACACAGGTCCCATTTTCAGCCTTGGTCATTCCGTTTGGACAAAGATCAATGCACTTATAGCCACCACGGGTGTTTTTACAGTGCTGGTCTGGTCTGCACACATTCTGTCTACATTCGTTCACATCTTGATGAAAGAACAAAGGTAATACAGACAATGTAAGGATTAATTTCATTTCTCTAGAGAAAGGATTCCTTTGGATTTTAAGGTGATTATAAGTCAATATATATGTGTATTACACAATTGTTGCATATGGTAAAAGTGCTTAAGTCTATACCTTAAGCAAGGTATGCTAACTCACTTTACTATAAATAAGAATGGCAAAGTATTGTTTCATAGCTGGTAGCCATGCTTATTACTGTCCCTAAAAAATGAATTGACATATATATGCATGTATATACACATACATATAATATAAACAGTGAGCATATATTCATATATGTGTGTGTATATAAACTTAATTCATACATATCCCTACACAAATATTCACATTTATGTGTATATATAAACAAATATATGTGGGTATACATACATATATGTTTATTTATAAACTTAAATATGTATAATACACACACACACACACACACACACACACACACACACACACACACACATATGTTGTTCTAAGACCCTAGTGGTCTTATCATTCAAGCATAGCATGCACAGAATCCAAAAAATATCATTTGATTCTGTTTTTTGTACACATCACAAGCATGGGCATGGCTGATAGCCTATATTTAAATAAGTCTTAGGACACAGCATGTGCCTTTAGATAATTCAGCACTGAAAAATTCTAGGGTTCTGGAGGGAGAGAGAGCCATGGGTAAGGGCACTTGCTGCACTAGCATAAGGACTGGGGTCTGAATTTCCAGAACCCATGTAAAATCCTGGTATAGCTGTAGGTCTTCCTACAACCTCAGTGCGATAGGGAGGTGGAGACAGGAAGATTGCTGGGGCTTGCTGGATGCCTGGTCCAGCTGGACAAACAGTGAGCTTCAGGTTCAGCAGGACAGTCTTCTTCAAAGGAACAAGGCAGGGAGCTGTAGACTGGGTCGGTCATGTGATGTGCTCCTCTGGACTCTGCACACGTGCGTGCACACACACACACACACACACACACACACACACACACACACACACAC